TGTCGCAAATTGCTGATTTATCATTTCTATAAGGGCGCGCTTTCTTGTTGTATATAATAGCCTATTATAACAGATATCCCTACAATTTCCTGTTTTAAGTTTGGTATATTATTTTTATGTTCTTATCTGTTCCCCACCAATATAATCTCTACTATCACGGGTCCCATATTATAGGATGCTGAGATTTTTCTTCGGTGTCGTATAGCTGAAACTATATACATTACTACGTTTTTCTTCTGTCCCATTGATTGAATGTAAAAGCGCAACAATGGCATAGAACTCTATGTCCAGGTTGCATATTTAGGGCACATCTGAGGAGAAATCAATCAGGAGGTACACAGTGCACAACATAAAAGCACGTTACTTACTGCATATTCCGTGCTGTAAATGAAAATGTCTATCTTCCAATCAAACATTAACACGTTTGATTGCGTAGGGTGGCCTGTACGTGGCCGACCAAATGTCTGAACCAATCATCTCGTGTGACATGGTAGCTAGACGGTCCCGATTTCATTTATTGCATCTGAATAACAGTTTCGTGCAATATGTGCAGGTTTGGAAGACGCAATGCCATTTTTAAGAGAAGACAGAAGTTTTTTTAGAATAATAAATTCTAACAAATATTCCGTCACATCACTGAAACCACGGTAAATGTAATGGATCCTATTAAAAGTTCCTGTTGATTGTCTTGTGCACGAAAGCCATATTATGAACCTCATCCAAATGGAGTTATGATAACACAATGTGACTAAATATGCTAGGCTATGACTATGGCTACATTTTAATGCATTTTTCTAAATACACGATCAATCCAAGGAACATGAGCACGAGAGTACACGAGTAAAACCCCTTCAAATCTCACCGATTTTGTTCCGGAATAAAGAGTTCCACGATCTTTACGGACTCTCCTTCGCTGTTTTGACCACCACAAATGATAATGCCGTTAACCCTTTGGGTTCTGTCTCCTGAAGGACTAACTTCGACGCTGCAGCAAGCAGTCTTACAACGCCGATAGGCCAGAGGTGTAGCCGGAATCAAACGACGATTTCGAATATTGAATTTGTCAACTTGTTCCGTCTCGTTGCCTTGCTCGTCGTCAAGCCTTCCTCCAATAATAAACACATTATCTGAAACAAGCGTAGATGAAAAGGCTGAATTCTAATTGGAAGTTTTACTGTCTTTTAAAACACCAGCGTTGCGGAGTCGTAAATGGTAATGCCAACATCTTCAAAAATCTTGTTGAGGATTCGCTGTGGGGACAGGGAACTAAATTAAATGTGCTGGGAGGTGTGAACGTTTAAAATGATGACACGGCAATTAGCATCCTACAGGATCCTTAGCACTCGAGACCTCTTAACACCTGGGTCAAAATGAGTTATGTTTTCGGAAAGGGAGTGTGTAAAATGTTATATAGGATATTTTCGCTGCAATCCTTTTGTCTGTTACCAAGTGAATCATGTTTCATACTGCTAATCGCTAACCGCTTTTTAAGGCGACAAGATTTGGCGCCCATGATAACGCGGACGAATGAATTTAAACCCTCCTAGCTGTGAATTTAAGTACAGCTTCACTATGACAAAAAAAGCCAAGAGGAGCTAGAGCGGTAGGAACATTTTAATTAGGACCATTAGTTTTGAAATGATCTGGGTGCTGGCACTCACAGCGGGATTTCTCATTTGGATTGGGAAGGAACCATAGACTGGGCTCCCTGCACCGAAAACGGTTGATATTCTCTATATCGCTTCAGGATAAAATGTCGGTAACTGAATTCTCTTTATCATGATCACCAAAAGATGAACATGGGATAATCAGGAGAAATCGAAGGGGGTTTGATGATGATCGAGCTCGGCCACACCAGAAGTTGAGAGTCGAAATTAAATCGGAAGTTAACAATATCGCAAATGATAAAGCTAGTTGGACACCGGCAACTGCGATCCTCAGGCACGGTTCCTTAAAAGAAGAGAAGTCATGGGATACCAGAGTGGCAGGACCAGTTTATTCTGTACGGAAGGAATGGGGAATAGGCAGTATTTAATTGAATATCCGACGACCGCTCAACCACAAGCCAGCGGAATGTCTCTGGGGTTTGGTCTGCTCGGCGGTCGTCACACGAGGTTCTGCGCGAGTCGGCCTGTGGTTGGCTGATCCAGATGCAGGATTCAGTAGGAATACATAAGTGTGTGTTCGAGTGGAGCTAGTCCCGACCAACATTCACAATTGCGCTTGCCGTGGAGCTAGTAACTACATGGTCACTTGCTTAGGACAGCATCGAATATAGTTTGGGCAGTTCGTTGCATATTTTTATGGACCTTAAGTCATGAGATTGTTGTCTTGTGGTCTTAAGCCGGAGAATATTGAAATTCAGCAATACTATCTGCCTATACCACCAGTTGCTACGGCTGTCAGGACCGCTGTCGAGGCCCAAGACAGATAATTTCCGCACGCGGTTTGTCAACCCTTCATGACCGAGTGACAATTCTCTA